AACTTTCACAATAATAACCTCTGTCTGATTATACGGGGGTCGTAGACAAATTTGGGTTTATGAAGATAGTGTTGAAGATTTACTCAGTAAATTCTGCTCCCTGGGCTTTTAATACAAATAATAGAAAGAGCTTGGCTATGTGATCGGTGTTTCTCTTGTAACTCCACAGAACCGTTTGTGCTAGAGTTCTGAAATTTAGGCAGCTGGTGCAGAGAGCAATTTCTGCCCCCGATCCCTATAATCGTGCAAAAATTTCAATAGGTACGTTTGGAAGAACGTGCATTAAGTAAGCATTGCATTAAGTAAGCATTAAATTAAGCTGCATTCGAGTCAGTTTTATTTGTCCTTTTTTCAATTTTTTTAAAAAAGAGATCATTGGTGTTGTTAGCTGGCTCGTAACTCTATTTAATGAAGAAGGATTACACTGGGAGTTTATTGTAAATTCTTTTATAAGTATTTTTTTTCTCAGGTAATTTCGAGTAGGAAAAAAAAATGCGGATGACGCGAGAAAGCAACGTTAACAAATAGTAATTTGAAAGTTAACTGAAACCAAGCGCTTATTATGTTAATGGTGAAGTTTTTGAAACGTGTTCGAAATCAATAATTGAAATAAGAATAATTATGATGCGAACGATAACGATATTTTCGGTGCTACGCTGTACTGAGTATAATTGAATTCTCCTTTGGAGAGTTAGAATTTAAAGCGTGATTTATTATATAGTAGGGAATTAGCGTGAATTAAATTATAAAAAAATTAAAAAATATAAATATATGTTAAAGAAGGAATTATTAAAAAAAAATTATTGAGTTGGATACTTTTTAGTTTCGAGTTTTGTTGTTGTTTCTAATGCCATTTGCCAATGCCAGAAACAAGCCGGCTTGGTAAAACCAAGCGAATTTAAGGTAGAGGATGCGTTTCTTGTTTCTCTGTGGCACCATCTACAGCCAATAATAGGACTTTAGTCACACATACGTCACAGCCCGTTTAAGGGGCTGACCCATTCATTCATCCACATTTTGTAATTTTGACCTAAATCAGAGAACAATCAATATCCCATTCAGTACCAGGTATTGATTTGTTCTGGGAATATGGTGGAGTTTGTGACCCTATAGATTCAATGCGCACTAGTCACTATTTACTACTCGGCAAGTCTTCGACCGGTGGGGATCGAACTAATAATGTCTTGGACATGGTCCCAATGCCTTACCAACAGGGCTATCCCAAGCACGTTTTATGTTTTACTCGCAGTATTGATTAATATCGATTTATTGATTATTTACTTTTTGGTTACCCAGTACGAAGAGCTGGCATACAGCTAATGTAATTATATGTTACTTTTATAATGTGAAAAATATGACGTACATGTACATAATTATTATTTTTCAAAATTTGAATATTGTCCTCTGGAAAATTACACGAATCGAATCCGAAGTATTTTAAACAACCAATCCGAACAACAAACTTTGTATTTAATAGTTTAAAAACTAAAAAGAATTTTATTGCAAAATTAAAAAAATAAATAAAAGGGTACATGTTTTTCGTGTATTTTATAGATTTTATGTCGAAAAATTGGTTACATTACTTTAAAATCGGGAAATTCGCGTTACAGTATTATGCAGTTTTTTTTCTCCTTCAATGCGAATATATATTTTTACAGTTAAAGCACATTTTAAATGTAAAGTATGACATTAGAAATGATATATTTTAATCATTCATTACCGAAACACTCTAGAAATTAGTACTTTATAAAGTCACAAAATCAATCGCATAGCAAAAGTACTAACTGAATGGAAATTAGAGAGAAAATAAAGTAACAATAATAGTTTGTAAAGCTGCAATATCATTTTGTAAATTACCCATTTAATAAAATTGGTGCCTTTTTCTTTAGTTTTTTACTACTTAAAAGCTGCGTGATCCTTTGTAAAACTTTTCTTTTAAAGTCTAGTCTTTTCTATAAAAGCTTGATATATAAAATAATAATACTTTAATAATTAAAAAGATTTCATGAAAAATGAAACTTTTTAATTTTTGTTCCAATATTTGAAAACTTTAGGAAGATTTTCGAGCTTATAAAATTCTCGCCAAAAGAGTTTAAAAAGAAGGTTTTAATTTGACTAGTGAGCGAATTTGTTTTTATTACTACCATATCCTAATTAGAATTTTGATTTAAATTCATAAAATTGCCCTTAAAAATAGTAAAATAAAAATACCCCAAAAATGGGAAGAAAAAAATGACCTTAATAGAACAAAATTTTCTTAAAAATTTAATAAGAATTTCAATCTGAAACATTATTTCCTTTCTAAATTTACAAACCATTGTATTAAAATGCGTGTATCAAGAGAAATAAAGCTGTAATTTTCATTAAATTGTGAAGTAAAGTTGGAGAGAAATTAATGGATGGGTTAAACAAGACCATAAGAGATATTAATAGCAAAAAATTTTTAAAAAACTATGTCTAAAATATGATTTCAAATCAAAAAATCCAAAAACGTAAAAAGAGTTCCTGTAAGTAAAAATTAACACCCTAAAATGAAAAAAAAAAAAAAAATACTCTTAAAATCCTAGCACACACGCACAAATAAAAAAGAGCTTTTACACTGTGGAAAAAAAATTTATGATGAGAGAAAGAAGTTCAAAGCAAAAAATGCATGTGCTATCAAAATCTAGGCATAAGTCGTTACAAATTTATAAATAAATATTTAACTGCAAAATGTCCATATTCTGTTTGCCAGAAGGAAATGAAAAAAAAATTATATTTTTTTTCACACATTTTATTCGAAATTCTATCTATAACAGATTCAACGATTGAAGGTCATTATTCTGAAAGATTTAATTTACAATAGATTTCACACAAACATTAGAACAGTCACGACTGTCGTGTCATTATTTATTTTTCCACATAAAGAAAGAAAAGGAAAACCTAAAAATTCTAAAAAGTGCTCTGAAAAAAAAAAAAATCAAATGAAATAAATCTTAAAATACTTTAAAAAAAAAAAAAAAAAAAACTTAGTAAGTAAATAAATAAATTCCCTAAAATAAAATTACAAAACACCCTCACAAAATAACAAATAAATAAGTAAAATAAAATAAAAAAATAATAAAAATAAATAATAAATGTATAAATAAAGACTTTATAGTGTAAAAAATTTCATAACAGAAAAAGAATAGTTGCACTGTGCAAAAAAATGTACGTGCCCTCAAAATCAAGGCAAACCATTAAAAAATTTATAAATAAATCTTTTATTGCAAAATGTTCATATTTCTTCTCCGGGAAGGAAAAAAAAAATCATTTTATGCATTTTACTCGAAATTCTATCTAAAACGGAATCAAACGTCTGAAGGTCATTATTCAGGACGATTTCATTTACAATAGACTTAACCCTCGCACAGTCACGACTATCGTGTCATAATTTATTTTTCCACAATGTCGAAAATAAGGAAGATCTTCAAAATTCTTTTCTCAACTCTGACACGAACTGGCGATCTAATTAAACGCCAACGCACTGTTAAAAAGTTGCGACAACCCTATAGGGCGGTAAAGTGAGGCGTTGGGAAGCCAAAATCACACGCGGTATTGACCTGTTCGTGAACTTCTTCAATAGCTGCTTCAAAGTATTGAAATAAATATTCATTTTTTTCCACCCGCCTAAAGTGTTTTCTATTCTAATTTTAGTAAACAATGCACTTGAAAATTTTTTCCATCTTATTTAACTTCGATTGAACTCGACTTAGTTCCAATATTTAGGTTTAAAAGCAGATATATGTGTCTATTTTTTCCTTAAATGAAAATATCACCTTAAACTGCAACTATGAATTTTTAAAATGATTTTATAAAAATTAATGATGCGCATATTTTGGAAACGAGTCAAAAAATTTCAAATAATTTGCTTTTCTTACGATGGAAGAAATTTTTTTAAACTTTTTTAAGACAAAAACTATAGATTTAAAAGCAATAGTTTTCTTTAAATAAAGGTGCTTGTTTAGGCAATGACAGTGATAATATCACATGCCATGCTAATAATATTTATAACTAATTAACAGCATTAATTTATAAAACATTATACAACAATATTTTTTTTGAAAAATAATTCTAACAATAATCAGGGACTAATTGAAAGCAATTAATAATGATTAATCACAGCTGAAAAATATCTTACTAAGTCTTTCTTTAAGATCCTTTTTGATCGGATCCTGGATGGAGGTGGAACTTAAAAGTGCTATTATTCCTCTTTATTTAATTTTAACAAAAAAATAAATAAATAAATAATTAAAGAAAATAAAGAACTGATGTTTATTATATTCTACAATAACTTTCGAAACATTTAAAATAAATTATTCAGAATGAGAAACATTTAGTGGGCGTCATTCTAGAATTTATATGAATTTTTCTAACAAAATAATGACAATATAATTATGTAATTAATATTTCCAGAAAAATAATTAAGTTTCTATACGTTTGCCTACTTTTTAATTTCCGAAAAAGAATTTTTTTTCTTCATGAAAGTGCTTTACAAGTTTGAGAACACAATAAATTCAGTCATTTTTCTATTTATTTCATAATAATTAATTTAGATACATTTTAATGCTAATTTTATTTTTTTTTTTCAATTATAATAATAATAATGTTTTATAATGTGCTTTCAATGATTTTATATTGACAAGTTTATTTTAATTTCGATCTAAGTTTTTTCTTAATACCCATACAATTTATTTCTTTGTATAATGTAAATTCTATCATTTATAATAAATCCTGTCCATTGATATTTATATTAATTTCTTAATTCTATTTACATTTTCTTTCAGTACATACATGGATTTAGTTAGATATTACAGCAGTTTCTGAAGTGACAAAAACAGCACAGAAAGATTTTATTAAAAGTTTCGGAATCTCTAAGCTATTCTCTCTATTTATTTATATGTACGAACTCCAATGTTTTGGGTTGAATTTGGCGAGTTCCACATTCAACCGCGCCAAAGCAATTCTTTTCCTTTTCCTAACCTCCACGATCGCCACAGAGCAAGCTACCAGTTCACACTAAGCGAACTTCTATATCGTCGTATGCTTGTTTGTGTTGAACGTGTGCAAGTGTTATCTTAACCGTTCCAAAAAATAAACCAAGTTAACATTCTGGATTAAAACAAAACATCATGCGACATGAGGTGGTTGACAGTGAGAAAATGCTTGTGAGTATTTTCATTTTTAACTTTCTCTTCTGAAGTTTTTGTTTACATTTTGTGAGGGAAAGCCCGCCGCTTGCAGACGTGAGTGGATGTTTTAAATCTGTTTTGGGGAGAATCTGTTCTGCTATTGACAGAATCCTGTTTTATCCGACCAGCTGATAAAAATCTGGCTTTCTCTTGGCTGTTTTGTTTGCTATGCTAGCGGATTTTGAAGCAGACTGGATGGATACACTTTGAAATAGCTTACTTTTTCAAATATTTTAAATAAATTTCTGATTTGTTTCTAAAAGTTAGCATCAAACTATATTCCTAATGCAAATATTTAAAAATACAATCGCTCTTAAATATAGATATTTGTCGGAGATATAAAATTTTAGTAACTAACATGAACTTCTCTTTTTAGTAATATTTCTGACAGTTAACCGCTCCTAACTAATATCAAATTGTTTTGTGCTACAGTATTTATTTTCTCTTTGTTATTTATATTATCGGAGGGGGGGGGGAACATTGTCAGAACAATTTTCTGAATATATATTGGATTAATTTAACTTATTTCTAAATTACATAATTATCAACTAAATACTAAAATATGAAATTATGATTTTTTTGAAATTATAATGCTGCTCGTCTCCTTATTATTTTCTAAAAATTACTATGTGTATAAACACGCTAATAAAATTGCACAATTTTTTTTAATGTTAGCGGGAAAAACAATTGTTTGAAAAATATAAAATTTTTAAACATTTTGTAATTATGAAATTAGTTTTTTTAATTGAAGTTAAATTCTAAGAATATAGTATCGTTTACTTTGTCCGAAATAGAAGTAAAATAATTTGTATTTTAATCAAATTTTTAATAATGGAAAAAAAAGGTATTTTGTTCATTTATTTTCAATATACATGATGTTGAATTATTTCTTATTCAAAAAATTAATTATTCACTCTATAATCAAAACATAATTTATTCCATTCTCAGATTTCGTATTTTCTGTCTAATTAAATCATTTTTGTAATTAATTTGCATCATCGCCTCCATTATTTTCATGAATATTTAAAAAAATTAATCAATTTAAAATAGTAATTTTACCTATTATTATACTAAGATTGAGACTATTACTTTAACTAGTGAAAGAGAACATGGAACAAAACATAACATAAGTTTTCTAGGGATTTGAATCTGCTGGGTCATTAATAGAACAAGTATAGAACAAAAGAACTACACTTCGTCTGCTCTAAGGCCTGCTGTCATACAATATTTATGTTGCCATTAGCCATTCAATTTCTGATTACCTTTTTAGTTAAAAGTGCTGTGAATTAGGCATAAAGAGTTTTAATTTGTATTATGGAAATAATAATATTTTTAAGTTGTAATGAATTATATAAAATAATATTTTGAAAACTATTAAAAAAATACATTTATCATTTAGCTGCAAATGGCTAGAAGGTTCTCTGCTGTAGACGTGCTGCCCTATACTGGACAAATTTGAATATTTGATAGGTGTTTCTAATCTTGCATGCACCATTAAAAATCTTAAAAATGTGAAATATAAAGTAAAGTAACGATGTCTTCAAAACTAAGATGCTGGTGCAGAAAGGGTTAAGGATTATTTTGTATTCTAAAACCTTTAATTATTTTTTTAATGATTCTTATCATTTTGTATCTCCTCTGTTACTGATATAAATAAATTTAAAACATATAACAGCTTAAAATTGCAATTTCTCCTATTATTATACTGAGATCGAAATAACTAATTTAATTAAGAACATTTAGTTGATTAAGAATATTATGTAAGATTAAGGATATTTAGTACTTCAAAACCCTTAAAACTCAATTTTTTTAAAAATCTATAATTTATTTGCGACTTTATTGAGAAATCAGGTTTTATTTTGGTTTTGAATTATAGGTGTGATTGAGAGTTATTGAGGTTAGACGATTATTTTGATCAAATATTATTACTTTATTTGGATAAATATAACCGAGGATTAAAATAAAAAGATTAAAAATTTTAATTTCTCCTGTTATACTGAGATCGAAATAATTTGTTTGATTAATGGAATTAAGAATTATTTAGTACTTCAAAACCCTTATTTTTTTTTGTTTTTTTATAAGCTTTTTTGAGAAATTATGTTTTATTTTACGTTTTTATTAGAAGATGTTACGACAGTTATCCAGTCTATTAGCTTGATTAAATGTTATTACTTTAATAAAGCAATATATCCGAAAACTAAAGGAAAATAATAACGTTTTAACGTTATAAATAATTTAAAGAAAATCTTTCAATACTAATAACAATTATTTCTTATTATTAAATTTCTTTATTTTGATTTATTTTTAATTTTGTTTGTTTCAATTTGTTTGCTTAAATGAATTAAATGAGTAATTAATACAGTGAAACTAACTTTTATCGTAAAGAGACATACTGTCAATCCAAATGATTTTATACTTTCAACTTACGAATTTTCTAAAAGTTAAAACAATGTTAGTTTTTTATTTTGAATTTGCATTATTTCTTGTGAAAAAGAAAATTTTCATGCAATTAGAAAATACTATAATAATTTCTTAGAATCAATGAGATTATAGTAGTCGAAAATAAAAAATTATCCTTTTAACTCTTAAAATTTAGTGCAACTCGTTTATTTTGTTAGATACATTAATTTTTCTTTAAAAATCACCTGTGTCCCGCAGTGGACTGATCGTTAAGACACGGTTCCCAGCAGATCACCGAAGTCAAGCATCACTGGCTGCGGTCAGTGTGCGGGTGGGTGACCACTTGGACCAGTCTGCGTAGGGACCGAGGGTGTGCGGTATTGGTCCTCGTTAAACTGTGCTACCGTAAAGTGCTCGACTTCGCTCGCAGGTCGTCGGGCTACCGAAGCGGGGGTGCCATCCCCTCCGCAGAGGATCAAAATTGTGATGGCATGTCTTCGGATCATCCTCCGGGATGTTTCCCAGACCGTCGCCAATAGCCCATTGTGCAGCTCTAGTGCGACGTAAATTAACAACAACCAACTAAAAATCACCTGTATGTTTTTGATATTTTTTTTTTTTGTATTCTTACCCCTATAAAAATATTTTTTTTTCATCCAATAATAGCGTATTTTTTGGTTTCTTAGTTACATTACATATTAAATCAATTTAGTTATAATTTGTAGGTAGATGTTTTGAATGAAAAAAATAACTAATTAACTCAAGCAGAAGTTTTCTGCTCAGAATTTAGCATTTAATAAGTAATAAAGAAATGCAAACAAAAGTTATAAAGTAATGAACTTAATCCACCAATATTTTTTCTATTATCAACCATTGCAATTTTTTCTTTTAAAAAAAATTTGAATGTTTTCGTCGTAAATACATAACCTTTTGTAATAATGCATTATATTTTAATTATAGAGTGTATAAAATTATAAATAGATAGTAATACAATTTAATAAAATTAAAAAATTACAGTATGTAGTATAAATCAGTATTTTAGTGTTGCTTGCATTTAGTATGAATGCTTTTATTTTTAACGTTCTTTGTAACCTCTTCCAGGTAGAATCAAAATATTTATCTAAAAGCTTTAAAAAATTCAATAAAATTTACTGTGGTCAACAATACAAATTTAATATTGATATTGTCAGCTATTATTTTCTGATTTTGTTTTGTGGCCTTTTTTTTATACTGATAATGGGCATTTAAAATATTTTTTTTTCGCCAAAGAATGGCCAGAAGTGTGTCTAGACATTTTGTTATAGGTCCTGCTTTTGTAAAATTGTGAAAAAACAATTCATAATTTGTGAATATAAAATAAGCGTTAAGTCACATTCTTTCAACCAGAGTGCTGCTTTTGTGAATTTGTGCAAATAGGGTCCTATTATTGCAAAAATTGCTAAAAACTTTTTCAAGTTTTTAAATTATAAATAGATACAAGATTCTGCTCAACGATTGCTGCTACTAAATTAGAGATACAACATGCAAATGTTTGCTATTTAGCCTATACTGCTCAACACAGAATATTCATTTAGGACGAATAATGGAAACAAAATCACTCACATTTTTAATAATTTCAATTGACATATTTTAAATAACACAACTTAGTAATGTATCCCTTTTAATGTGTTGCGCATTAAGTAAACTTAAACAATTCTTAAATTTATAATATTTTATTTAAAAATTTGCCAGAAATTAATTTTTATTTACATAATATTCTATTAATTAATTTTATGAGTAAATATAAATTGATCAATTGTTTATTCACAGAAAAAATTATGATTTAATATTTATAAGAATGCGCACACAATGTTTGGAAAAGTATAATTTTCTTAGAATACTAAATTTGGAATTTAAACTTAAGGAAACTTAGTTCGTCTCGAACCAACCATCTTTCTTCCCCACCCCCCAGAAGGGTTTATTCGATTAACAAAACAATAATGAAGATAAACAAATCTGTGGAGGGTCCAATTAAAAGATAAATTATTTTGTAAAGGGTCTGTTAACGGACCCAAATTTCTTCTAAACAGACTCTTGATAGCTGTTCTTGTTTTCTTATTGCCGGACCACACAGCTTTAAAATCACAAACCTTAAAAAAAAATTGAGAAATATCGAGATCCGAATTAATTCGCGTTTTAACTTTATTAACGAAAAAAACTAATTCTTATTGTTTTTACCATTCAGAAAATATCGAAACAGTTTTTTATTGTAAATTAAACTTTTAATAGTTATTAAAAACTTATTTTTTTACCTAAACTCGGCAGTTTAAAACATTATCGTTTAAGTCAGATTTAATATTCTTTGTTTTATAGATTTCTTTTTACTTCTGTCAAACAACACTAATTTTTAAAGCACACATTTTTAAAGATAACATATTTTAAACTTACGTAACTGAAAAACTATTTACGTCACTTAAAAAAACTATTTTTTCTGCCAGTTTTAAGCAGTATTAGAAATAACATCCTTAATTTTTTTATTTGTCTTTTGTTAAAGGATTAAAAACAATTAGCGTTTCAAACAGGCATTTTTCTTTTTG